CCCATGTGGATACAGGGGCCCAAGGACTCTGCTTTCCCAGTCCATGAGCAGAGAGCTGGATCAAAGTGGAGCAGCTTAGGCTAGTATCAACATTAATTTGGGATGCTGGCACTGCAGGTAGAGGATTAACATGTTGAGCCACTGTGTCAGCCGTTTCATTAATTTACAGTTGCTCTTTTTTCATTGTAGCAGAAACATCTATGACCTGTTCAGTTAGTGTGAATCGCAATTGCAGGATTGCTGCAAAAATTCACAGAAAATGCTTATGTTGAGAAAACTGTATACTCAAAAAATGTTATACCAAAATAAACATATTTTAAAATACTTCTTTTTAGGGCCCAATGCGGTGGCCTAGCAGCTAAAGTCCTCACCTTGAACGCACTGGGATCCCATATAGGCACAGGTTCTAATCCTGGCAGCCCTGCCTTCCCATCCAGCTCCCTGCTTGTGGCCTGGGAAAGCATTAGAGGATGGCCCAAAGCCTTGGGACCCTGCACCCGTGTGGGAGACCCAGAAGAAGTTCTTGGCTTCTGGCTTTGGATCAGCACAGCTCTGGCCTTTGTGGCCACTTGGATAGTGAACCAATGGATGGAAGATCTTCCTCTCTGTCTCGCCTCCTCTTTGTATATCTGACTTTCCAATCAAAATTAAAAATAAATCTAAAAAATGACTTATTTTTATCTATTTGAAAAAGCAACAGAGAGTGAGAAAGAGAAATCTTCCATTCACTGGTTCACTCCTTAGAGACCCCAAGGAACCCAGGCTGGCCAGGTGAAGCCAGGGGTCAGGGACTCCGGCCTGTCTCCATGGCGAATCGCAGAAGCCCGAGCACTGGAGCCGTCATCTGCTGCCCGCCAGGCTGCACTAGCAGGAAGATGGACGGGAAGCAGAATAGCAGGGACTGGCATTCCTGTTGGGCATGTGGGTGTCTCCGGTAGGGTTTTCACCTGCTGCACCCCTGCTCTATATTCATGAATCTCATGCCGTGCAGTTTGCTTCCTGTGTTCCTCACGTTGGGCATTAGATCTTAGTCTTGTTCATCTTACATGGCTGCTTTCTATCCTGTGATCTTTATCTTCCTGCCCCGCCCCTCCTGGAGAGGAATCACAAGCTACCAGTTGATTCTGTTGGTTGCTTCCTTTGCTTTGCAGCAGCTTTTGAATTTTTTTTAAAGATTTATTTATTTTTATTGAAAAGTCAGATACATAGATATATATATATGTAGAAAGAGAGGAGGAGAGACAGAGAGGAAGATCTTCTGTTGGATAATTTACTCCCCAAGCGGCTGCAACAGCTGGAGCCAAGCCAATCTGAAGTCAGGAACCCAGAGCCTCTTCCGGGTCTCCCACATGGTACAGGGTCCCAAATCTTTGGGCTGTCCTCGACTGCTTTCCCAGGCCACAAGCAGGGAGCTGGTTGGAAAGTGGAGCCACTGGGATTGGAATTGGCACCCATATGGAATCTGGTGTGTTCAAGGCGAGGACTTTAGCCACTAGGCTACCGTGCCGTGCCCCAGCTTTTTAATTTGAAGTAGTCCTCTTTATTTATTTTTGTTTTCATGGCTTAATTTTTTTGTGTTTTAGCCGTTGATTACACATCTATATGTAAAAATATTTGGGCCTATAGTTGACATATGTTTATTTATGTAGAATGTGTAGTTGTCGGGGGATGTGCCATGGACCCCTGGGAGCTCTCCAGGGAGTCTTTAAGAGCTAACATGATTTCAAAATGTCATCAAATGGTATTTGCGTTTTTCACTGTGTTGGTGTAAAAAAAAAATCTAATTTTTAAAATATAGAATTTTAAGTTTTACTTAATTTTAGCTTTTGAATATGCATTGTTTCTGTACTTATGGTAAGGAAACAGGCATCTCTGAGAAGGGATGTTGCTGAATACTGCCAGGGTCCCCAGGTACAGCACCCCCGGCCTGTCTAGACAGCCCATTGTGGAGGCTGAGAGAAGTGGGCTCAAGGAGAATGGAGTGATTCAGCCTTCAGGTGATAAAAGGAAAAGGATTGCACCTGCAGAATTTGGGGAAGGGAAAAGATCCCAGACACAATCCTCAACAGAATTGCTAACGTAGTGACAGATCACCTCGAGAGAGGAGATCACAAATCGTGTCTCTGTGTTCTTGGTATTTGATCAGTTGCTTTGCCAAAATGACAATGTTAGCTACCTGTAGAGAAAGGAAAAAATTCAAGCTTCCAACTGAAAATTGAGATTTCAGAGACCCTGAATCCATCACCAGTGAGATCGGTGGTGAGAGTAACAAGTATGCTTTCTTTCTGTTGAGATAGGCCAGAATTTGGAAGATGTGTGTAACTCAGCTGTTGCCAGGATACTGCTTACAGAGTCATACAAGGATTGAGTTCATTCAGAGTGTAAGATAGATAGCGAAAGAGGAAGACTTGGTTTTAGCTTCCCCATGACTGCTAACCGTAAGAACCTCCCATGGTTGTCTTTTCATGTGGTAGCGAAGAACTCAAATCCTCTGAGAGTCTACTTAAACTCGCTCACTTTGCCAATTACATATCTGTGCGAGGATGAATTTGCTTCATGTATTTCAAGCAAGACATCACACAATGGTTTGAAAGCAGAAGTAGGTACAAGAATACGGCTGCCTTCTAAGCCAGACACTCAAGATATTTGCAGAATTACAAACTGTTGCCTGCTCACTAAATTTTTATCATGAAAAACATCAATTTTTAACTGAAAGTATTTGTAAACATGATGGGTTTATTTCTATGTTAAATAAATATATATATATTTTTTAAAGATTTATTTTTATTACTTTCTCATTGGAAAGACGGATATACAGAGAGGAGAGACAGAGAGGAAGATCTTCCGTCCGATGATTCACTCCCCAAGTGAGCGCAACGGTCGATGCTATGCCGATCCAAAGCCAGGAGCCTCTTCCGGGTCTCCCACGCGGGTGCAGGGTCCCAAAGCTTTGGGCCGTCCTCGACTGCTTTCCCAGGCCACAGGCAGGGAGCTGGAAGGGAAGCAGGGGTTCTGGGATTAGAACCGGCACCCATATGGGATCCAGGGCATGCAAGGCGAGGACCTTAACCTCTTGCGCCACCGCGCCGGGCCCTAAATAAATATATTTTAAAATTCAGTTTTAATTCTAATATCAAAGTCAACAGATATAATTTTTTAAAAAAGATTTACTTATTTTGTACTGGAAAAGCAGATTTTACAGAGACAAGGAGAGACAGAGAGAAAGATCTTCATCCACTGGCTCACTCCGCAATTAGCTGCAATAGCCTAAGCTGAGCAGATCTGAAGCCAGGAGCCAGGAGCTCCTTCTGGATCTCCCACACAGGTTCAGGGTCCCAAGGCTTTGGGCTGGCATGGTAATCTCATGGCAAAAGTCCTCGCTTTGCATGTGCCAGGACCCTATATGGGCACCAGTTCATATCCAGATTTGTGGGGAGAGTTGGTGTTGTGATGTAGTGGGTAAAGCTGCTGTGTCGAGTGCCAAAAATCCATATGGCACTGTTTATGTCCTGGTTGCTCCACTTCGAATGCAGCTCCCCATTCATGTGCCTGGGAAAGCAGCAGAAGATGGCCTAAGTACACAACCCCTGCACCACGTGGGGAACCTTCCCGGATGATGTTCCCGGAAATCTGGCTCAGTGCTGGCTGTTGCAGTTATGTAGGGGAGAGAACCAGTTGATGGAGAGTCTCTCTCTTATTCTCTTATTCTCTTATTCTCTCTCTCTCTCTCTCTCTGACTTCCAAAATAAATAAACTTGGAAGGAAGGAAAGAAAGAAAGGTAGGGGGCCCGGCGCGGTGGCGCAAGTGGTTAAAGGTCCTCACCTTGCCGCCCGGGATCCCATATGGGCGCCGGTTCTAATCCCGGCAGCCCTGCTTCCCTTCCAGCTCCCTGCCTGTGGCCTGGAGAAGCAGCAGAGGACGGCCCAAAGCTTTGGGAACCTGCACCCGCGTGGGAGACCCGGAAGAGGCTCCTGGCTTCGGATCGGCATAGTATCGGCCCGTTGCGCTCACTTGGGGAGTGAATCATCGGACGGAAGATCTTCCTCTCTGTCTCTCCTCTCTGTATATCTGCCTTTCCAATGAAAAAATAATAAAAATAAATCTTTAAAAAAAAAAAGAAAGAAAGGTAGGTCTTGGGATCCTGAATAATTCAGAATTTTGAAGGAATCCTGAGTTATAAAAGTTTTTGAACCATCACTTAGATGGGACAAATGCATACTAGGACTCTGTACCCTTGCATTGATGTATGGGTGTATCTATGGAATATCATAAAAAGTACCTAAACTAGGATTATGAAGAAGATGAAAAGCAGCATTTTGATGGCTCTGATGTCTTTCTGTACTTGGAGGGCCAGTCTGCTGCTCAGGTAATTAAAAAATGTTAATGCAGCAGAAAACTGGCATTGTGAGAACTTGAAGGGAAGGCTGCCAACAGCCCTAAGTCATTAGCAGGTGGCTGCATGGATCTGCAGCCTGGCAACAGGGGGTAAAGCACTGACCCCAAAGGAGCCTTTAAAGGCTGGCAACCTGGGCACCAGGGATGTGGGAGGCTCACTGAGCTTCTCGCCCCATCCCACCCCGCAGCAGCAAGGCAGAATGTGCCTGGGGTTAAGACTTGGAAAGACTGATTCATAACTGTCTTCCAGTATCGTGCACCAGCTCACAAGTCTCATGGTTCTGCAGGGCACCTGTTTGGGCAAAACATTTGTTTGCACACAGAGGAGCATTTGGGTGTCTGATGGGTGCCCACCTCTATGTGTGTGTGTCATGCAGTCCTCAGTGAACTGGCAACCCTGACCGTGACTTGAGAGTCTCAGCCCTGAACTATAGAGTCAAGACAGCCAGTACCCTCAGAAAATGCCCCCTGCTGCTCTTATTCAGGGGAGGTAGCCGGAGTAGCCATCCACGTATGCCCTGTGGGTTGAGGGTGGACACATTTTCCTCAGAGTGAGAATGCAATGTTTGCGATTATTCTCATTACTTCTGTTTTCTCTTTTCAGGGATCCACAACTTTTGGACTCAACTCTGGAATATGTGAAGGTAGGAAACCAGGTTAACCTGTTGCTGGAACCCCGTGTCCTAGAGTTCTCGTCTTAAAGATACTGTTGCTAACTGGTGTTCAGCCAGGCTTTTGCAGAAAACTGTTTAGCATGTCTGAAACAACCTCCGGCAAACTTGGTAGAGGTCTCAGGTCATCCTCTGACAGGTCTGCAATCGCCCCCTCTTCCTTATCTGCCTCGCCTTCCTTTTCCTCTCACTCGGCCCAGATGTGTTTATAAAATCCTAGATCTAGAAAGAAGCGTCGTGTAGAGCATGTATAGCTATGTGGGCCAAGAGGCCCTGGGCTTGGTGGTGGCCTTTGGCTGCCAGGGTCCCCCCCGACCCCCTTGTGTCTCCCAGTAGTGTGTCATGGTGGGATAGCTGTCTGGAGACTCCAAAGTGTTCTAAAGATCCTTCTTCCTGTATTAGTTCTGGACTTGAAAGGGATGTGTCTGTGTCCTTCCTCCATGTATCACATTATTTTTTAATTTCTCATATGGCCCTTGGTGGCAGGGGTAAGGAAACAGGGCCATTCGGATATTTACTATGACATTCATGGACCACACAGAAGTGTCAGCTCAAAAATCAGCCTGTTATCAACTGATTGAATTTGCGGTTGTCTGGACAGAGCTGGGCCAACCAATGTCACAGCCTTTTGTGGCCTGTTGGCCAAGCGTACCCCACCCTGGGTAGAAGGATAAACTTGGAATTTGTTGGGCTAATGTGGGATGTCTTAATTTACCTCAATGGTGGGCACTAAAGATCTCTGTGGAAGCCTTTGATACACGGCCCAAGGGGACCCAGCTCAGGCACGTGGTGGCATTTCTCAAGACTTAGTGTCTTTTGGTGGTGAGTGCCATGGAGGGCTTTATGTCGGTGGCAGCTGGTGGTGCCTGGTGACTGGAAGGTGGCTGGAGATGAATCCGAGGAGCTTGGAGTTGTGTATAAAGTGGGATGCACTCTGGCGCCGTGACTTTGATTGGCAACTTTCCTACCATCTGTTGGTGCACACTTGCTCTTGGGCATTCAGCAAAGTCAAAATTTTATGTGATATTGCCTCATGAAGGGACCTTGTAGCAAGGTCATATTCCTGGAGGAAAATAAAAAAGAATCTAGATGTCAGATTTTTCTGGATTTCTTGTAACCCCAGGTCAGGAGAGGGCTATGTGTTCCATGCTGGAGTCTTAGCTGGGCAGTGGAGGCGGCCTGTGTGGCCAGGAGGCAGGTCTCCTTGCTGTCAGTAGCACCAGTCCCAGGGCTCTTTATGCCTTACCATGCAACTCCTCTCCGGAATCTTCTTAACCACCTTCACATGTTGGCGGTCCTGGGACTGCCTTCTGATTTGCTGGGTGTAGAGATGGGTGGGGACAAGACACCATGGCTGACCCCACAGCTACTAAAATGACAGAACTGCTCTGTGATGGCAGGAGGGAGCTGCTGAGGAGAGCAAGGGTCCAAAAGCTTTTGATTCTGCCTAGTTTGTATTCTGGACCCTTGGGACAGCCAAGGGTATGCATTGTTGCATGCAGCCAGGGTGCTAAAGGGGCCTGTGCTGGGCTGCATTGCCATGAGTTCTCCCCTTCGTGGGGATGGGGTTGGGCATAGGATTGGGCACAGATTGTGCAGTGGCTCAGGTCCTGCTAGGCCTCTCAGCTGCACCCAGGCTAGTATGACATTTGCATGTAATATGAAAATGAATTGCAGACCTCTCAGTGCCCAGGGATTTGGGGATCTTATTTTCCAATTTTTCTTTATTCTTCCTTTTGGCCCTGAGGATGTTTTATTTTTCCTTTTCCTTCTCCTTGTTCTTTATTTGTGCAGCTTTCTCCTCATAGTAGCTGGAAAGCATGATGATTTGGAAAGCCTGATTTTAACCATTGTGTGATATGACATCTTTTACTGAAATCAAAATTGAATGAGGGTCAGCATGTGGAGCAGCCAGTTAAGACACTGTGTGTGTCCCAGATGAGTACTGGTTCAAGTCCCTGCTGCTAGACTTATGATCCAGCTCTCTGCCAATGCACCTGAGAAAAACAGCAGCACCCCTGATGCTTGGACACCTGCACCCATGTGGGAGACTCGGTTGGAGTTCTTGGCCCCTGGCTTTGGTCTGGCCCAGCCATGGCTGTTGTGGCCGTTTAGGGAGTGAACTAGCAGACGAAGTCTCTCTTTCTTTCTCTGTGTGTCTGTATTTCTGTCTATGTAACTCTGCCCTTCAAATAAGTAAGTCTTAAACAAAAGGCAAAATTAGAAGGAGAAAGAGATCTACCATCCTTTAGTTTACTTCCCTACTGTACTGGCCACAATGGCCATGGCTGCTCCAGGCCAAAGCCAAGAGTCCTGGAACTCCCACCGGGTCTCCCACTTGGACGGCAGGGCCGAAACACTCCAGCCATCTTCCACTGATTTCCCAGGCATGATAGTAGGAAGCTGGACCAGAAGTGGAACAGTCAGAACTAGACCTGGTACTCACATGGGATGCTAGCATCACAGGTTGCAGTTTAACACACTGTACCATAATGCTGGCCCCATAACTCGGCCTTTCAAATAAATAAATAAATAAATCTGAAAAAGAAAAATAAAACCATTAATTCTCATTGCAAATGCAAGAAAACATTCCTTCTAGGTTGGAAAACAGAGGCCTCGGGGTGGCTCTGCTTTCTTTCTGCTGTTTACTATGTCATGAGTGACTTGGGTTAGTGGTGTGCAGCTCTGGAATTTTCTTCTGCGTACCTAGCATACCTTACTCTAGATAAAGCCAATGTTTTTTTTTTTTTTTTTTTTCTTCTAAGGAGGATATAGCTTTCAGAGGCAATCACCCTCAGTGCAGTAGTGGAGTTTTTTATCTTCTGAGCTGCTCTGTCTACTGACTCCCCGTGCTGGGCTATGCCGAATTTTTACTCCTCATTAAAATGTTTTCCCTCTGTGTGCAGTCCCTTGGGCCTGTGTCTGGCAGTTGCCTAGAAAACTTGGGGAGACCGATGCTCTGAATGTGAGCCATGTGCTGGCCAGTGAGTTCCAGCAGGTACTCCCCAAGTCCAGGGAGGAGAGCTGGCTGTAGCCTGATTCTAACAGGCCGCCTGGCCTTGGATTTTTTTTTTTTCCCAGCATATCCTCCACAAGTCCCATCTTCCCCACAACCAGAAAACCTGGAGTTGGGCAAATGTTCCTTCCAACTAAACATTTTTGGCATTCTCTAGAATTGTTATAGGTGGAGTGAAGTTTGTTTTTAGCAAGTCATAAGGTGTTCTTAATTATGCTGTCACTTAAATAAACCATCACTCTTGCTCATAAACTTGCTGCATAAGTAGTGTTTTATGGGGCTCAGAAATTAAGATCCAGGCCAGGACAGCTGGTCACTGCCCACCTGTGGAGTGGGAGCAGCCCCCCCCCTTTACGTCCCACGATGTGGCAATTTTTTGGTGATGTCCTCCGCTTTGGTACATACAAAACTTTTGTATTTTTACTCTTTCTTTTCATTTTCATTCTAGAGCTACTTGAAATTCCAGAAGTTGTCTCCCCCACAGTCCCCTGTGCTAGATTTACACATTTTGCTGGATTATTTATGTATTGATATTGGATTGTTTTCGTCCCCCATCTCTCGGTGTTTTAGACTGAAGCCTCGTCACTTTCAGAGTGGTGTCGTTCCTGTGGAAAGGAGTCTCTTCCCGCGAGTGACAGAGTGGATTTGTTTAGAAGTCAGGATTGAAAGGGGGGAAAGTTGGGTGCCTTGTCCTCCTTGTACATTTTGCATTGTAGAATGAATTGACTTTAAGAAGGATGAGCAGGAAAACCCAGCAATGCAGTGAAGGGGACCCAGGAGGCCTCTTTCCTTTTGTGCCAGAGCCTGGAGTAGGCAAGTGCTTTTCCCTGGCTTGGCCGTGAACAGCGTGCTGCTGCACAAAAGGCTGCTTTCCCTCTGGGGGAAGCCAGCTCGGAATGCAGTCTTTGTTCCTCCTGAAGGAATATCCTCTTTGTAGTCAGCCTCTTCAGCCCCGGTTAGACCCGGGAGCTCCCTGCAGGTTAGAAACAGAAAGAACAGGTGTGGAGTGGCTCTCAGAGCATGGAGCAGAGTTCCTGGACTCCTCTCGCAGTGGAGCGCTGATGGGATGGCGAGGAACGTGCCTTCCTGGGCCGCAGACATTACAGACTGTGCAAGGCTCAGATCTCAGCACGGCTGCTTCCTGCCGTGGCTAGCGATGAATTATTAGGTCACCCGGCAGACTCAAAGAGGAGTAATTATGCGCATTCCAGCACCAAGAATAAGCCGACTGGGCTGTCAGTGGGAGAGGGGGCTTCCCCTTTTGTGTTTAAGATGGCTGCAGCCATGGTCACGGTTAAATAGCTGTCTTTGAGGGGGAAAAAAAATCTTTTCTTCCAGTAGGAAAACAGGCCAGCCTGCTCTGAATTAGCCAGCTCACAGAGTCATGAGAGGGACTTAGGGAAACAATAGCATGCTCTACATCCCGTGAGATTTTCACAAGTTGCAGGGACCAAATAATGGCCCAACAGGCTGGCTCTGCAGGTTTTTGCCTGAGTGTGCACATCCGAAGGGCCAGCGCTTGTCCCCTGGGACCACGGGATCAAACGCTGCTGCCTGTGGTGAATGGGAAACAGCTCTGGTGGGCCTCGCTTCCAGAGGGAAGACAGGAGCTCCCAGTCAGCTTCTCCCCCCACTAGCCCCCAAAACAGCATTCCCTGCAAACGTTCTTGAGAGGTTTAGTGTTACGGCAACTTTTTAAAGTGTTGAGGCAGCGTGGGAAGACAGAATAGGCAAGGAGGACAGTCCATTCTCAGTGGGTCTGCAAAAAATGTGGTCATTGGTGAAAATGTCTGTTTTTCCCAGAAAGACCTGGGTCTGTGAAAAGTTGGGATGTGAGTGGCTGCAGTGACATGACCTGTCCCTGGCAAAAACTGGGAACAACCCAAAAGTCCTTCAACCAGTTGGTGGCAAACTGCTTTCCACCCCAATCATGGCCTATACTGTCCGTGGAGGGGGG